ACTCACCCTGTGGGCAGGGACAGCAGGGTGAGGGTGGCATGCACTCCAACACCCTCCCCAACCTGCTGCCCTGCAGCGGCACTTGGCCCTGAGGTGGCAGGGGGACCGTGTCATGCCACGTCGTGGCCATGGTGGGGCTGCAGGGCAGCAGGGATGTCCCCCACAAAGCCACGGGACATGGGGCAGTGGGGATGTCCCCACCAAGCCGTGGGACACAGGGCAGTGGAGACATGTCCCCTGAGCCATGGGACATGGGGCAGCAAGGACATCCCACTGAGCCACAGGACATGGGGCAGCAGGGATGTCCCCACCAAATCATGGGACGTGGAGCAGCAGGGACATCCTCACTGAGCCCAGGGACATGGTGCAGTGGGGACATAGCCCCTGAGCCATGGGACGTGGGGCAGCGGGAACATCCCCACAGAGCCATGGGACATGGGGCAGCGGGGACATCCCCACTGAGTTCTGGGACATCAGGCAACAGGGATGTCCCCATCAAGCCATGGGACATGGGGCAGGGAATGGGAACGTCGCCACCAAGTTGCGGCATCTGGGGCAGCAGGGAAGTCCCCACCAAACCATGGGAGGTAGGGCAGTGGGGACATCCCCCCGAGCCATGGGGCAGTGGGGATGTCCCCCAGAACTATGGGGCAGCCGGATGTTCCCCTTCACCCTGAAACTGTGCATGGAGGTGAACGGGGCTGAGCCCTCTGCCACCCTGGGCTGAGTTATCCCTGACACCCTGGGCTGAGCACCCCCTGGGATGCTGAGCCCCGAGCCCTGCCCATGCCATGGCCCCGTAGGTTTCTCTGCAACAGGGCAAACCCAGTCACGTCCCCACACTGCCCTGGTGGGCTCTGGTCATGGCTGCGTCATGCTGAGCTGGATGAGGCCCCTCTGTAGTTAGTGCTACCTGTGCCCCGGGGTCCCCAGCCCTGCCTCGCTGCAGGGCATCCCCAGCCCTGTGCCTGGGACTGCCATGCCCCAGACCCAAGAGGGTCTTGGGGCAGGGGACAAATCCTGGGGGACAAGTCCTGCTCCTGCCACGCCAAGCACGATGCTGGGCCCTGCACCCAGCCTGAGACAGCATCGTTGCCATCCCTCGGGTCACCGTGCATCCCTCTTTGTGCCATCCCCACCACGGGACCCCCGGTCCTGCCTCCTTGCTGCCCTGGGGTGGGCGGTGGGGGGGCTCAGCCTCCCAGAGCACCACGCACCTCTGGGCTGCAGGGAGAGGGGATCAGGGCCGCCCCGGCGATGGAGCCAGCCTGCCCTGCTGCCACCCTCAACCGGAGAAATGCCCCAGTGCAGAAGGGCATCGTCCGGGGCCGCGGCTCGGCACTCACCTTGGTGCTGCCGCCCGGCCATGCATAGGCTCCCACGCCGCTCCCCCTTCCTGTCCCTCCACCTGGGCCTGAAGTATTTATAGCGGAGCAGTGAGCTGACGGCTGGCAAATATTTGGTAGCTGTATTGTAATAGTAGACTCGGTAAACAGAGCTGGGGTTTGCTTTAGCACCCAGCAACGGGAGAGCGGCGCGGGGAGGGACGTAGGGACGGAAGGCAGGGCTCACCTTAATGGTTCACTAGCCAGGGGATTTTCAAGTGTTGTTCCTGTAAATTCACCTATTAAATCGGCAGCCCCAGCTGCCAAACTGCCCGCACACTTGTGCCGAGGGCTCTTATCTCCCTGCTGATTGGAGGCGAAATCAAGCTTTGTCAAATAGGCGTAAAATTAAATTTCATGCTATTTTGACTCCTGGAGTAGGGATCTTCTGAAGAACATACTGCGTATCGAGCGATGCCTCTGCAAACAGGCGCTGCCGCCATGGCTGCAGTGGGCAAAGCCTCTCTGTGGGGGTCCTGCAGTGCCGGCACCCCGCACAGCAGAGTGGGGCCAGGTGCTGCGCAGCCCCCGTGCGGGACCAGACCCCCCCATCTCCAGCCTTGTGTCCCCCCCCGAGGTGGGTGTGGGGCTCCCTGACCAGCCCCAGGATGGGGTTTGAAACCTTTTGAGGTGGCAGGACACAGCCTCGATGGCACGGCCAGCGGGAGAGACACTTCAGGGTGCTGTGCTCCCTGGGGGGTGGTGGGGCTGGGTGCCCAGGGCCGGTGGCTCTTGCCAGGCAGTGCCTGTAGATGCAGAGATGGGGACATGTCAGGTGGAAAGAGGCTGGGCCAGCCCCATGGCAGGGACAGCACCCAGGACGGCAGTGTTGTCACCATGGCCGGGGCGCTGGAGTGCCCCGTGTCTCCACTATGCCCTGCGGGTGTGCTAGCCCACACAGTGCGTGAGGGACTGAGGATAGCTGACAATGGCGACCAGCTCAGGTCCCGAGGAGGCTGTGGCCAGAGATGCCATTTCTGTTTTGGCGGTGGGATGTGCCAGCGGGGCCATCTGGGGCAGCACAGAGCACGGCCAGGAGACACAGATGGCTGGGGGACTGGAGGTGGCTGGGGACGCGGGGTGATGGCTGGGGGACGCAGGGTGATGGCCAGAGGACACAGGACAGCCTGCCTGTGAGAGCTGGAGGGCGCAGGGTGGCGGGATGCCTGACACAGCACCTGGACCCTGTCACCGCCTGTGCTGGGGATGCTGAGGGGGTAGGACACCGGCCATCGGGGTTGGGGATGGCCAGAGCCCTGCTCCAGAGCTGCTCTGCCTCCCTGCTCTTGGGCTGACCGCAGCTCCTGGTCTGCTCCCTCGGAGCCCTCCCTGCCACCGTGCCCTGAGCACCCTGCACCCTGTGCTGAGCACCCTGCCCTGACCGCCCTGTGCTGAGCACCCTGCCCTGACCACCCTGTGCCCTGGGCTGAGCTGTCCCACAGTGCTGAGGTGGGGTCCCCAGCCCCTGGCATGATGCAGCATTGGCGAGGAGAATGCCAGCCTGGGCATGGCTGTCACCCACCCCCCTCCCCTGGAGCACCCTGTGGGGGCAGAGCCGGGCACCGGCACCAGCACCGGCTCCGCAGCGCTCCCTTTCCCCTCTCCAAACACACCGGCAACGCCGGGGCGGGAGCAGCAGCCGCCCTGCCTGGGCACCGCTGGGCAAACACGGCGGGTGGGAGCTGATAAGCCGCGGGCACCTTTCAATCTGCTCCCTGACGTCACCCGCCGTCGCCTGGCCGCCCGGCAGCCAGCACAGCGCAGCTTGGCATGGCTTGGCTCTGCTCAGCATGGCCCGGCATGGCCTGGCACGGCTCGGCATGGTTTGGCACTGCTTGGTATGGCTTAGCATGGCCTGGCACGGCTCGGCATGGCCTGGCACGGCTTGGCATGGCCTGGCATGGCTCAGCACGGCTCGGCATGGCCTGGCATGGCACGGCATGGCCTGGCATGGCTCGGCATGGCCCGGGATGGCTTGGCATGGCCTGGCATGGTTCGGCATGGCTCGGCATGGCTTGGCATGGCCTGGCATGGTTCGGC